TCAAAATATTTCGAATCTGTGGCCCAACAAAAATACCTTCTTTAACCTTTGCCTCACTTAGTCTTGGAAATTTCTGACGCAGGTATTGAAAAGCTGACCCATCTCTATCTAATGCCTTGACAAAGTTTTTCATTAGGCCCAACTTGATATGCAGTGGTGGTAATAAATTTTTTTTCGAATCTACTAATGGCATATGCTGTACATTTTTTTGACCTGGCTCTAGGAATTGACGAACAGGCCAGTTTTGTCTGGTGTAATGAAGTGCCTTTGCCCGACTGTCCCATTCACACAAAAAACAGCAAAACTTTGTGTAGCCTAGCTGCAGCCCAAGTAAAAGTGCAACAACTTTCAAATCGCCACACATATGCCATTGATGCTATTATTTTCATATGATTCTTTCATGTGAACTGCATACCCTAGAGGAAGAGATGGTAAAATATTTCCAATATGCAATAACACTGCCTTTAAGCTCAATGTTGAACTGTCTATAAACAATCTCCATTCTTCTGGTTTATAGTTTATATTTAAAGCCGCCAGTAAGCCGTTAATGTTACTGTAGAAAACCAAGTTATTTTCCATATTGAAAAATGGTTCTAAGTCTTTGTGGCGTTTACAAAAAACACATACCGAAACATCGTCTTCTAACAAGTTACACTGCTGCAGTCTTGATCTGCCTTACATTTTGGAAGTTCTAAATCTCTTACAAGATCATTTAATTCTGACTGTTTTATTTTGTGCGGTTGGTGGCATGACGTGCTCGGTATAAAATCAGGATCTCTTGACGTTGATGGCATATCTTCTTCCTGACGAATCACTCGATCGCCATGATCTGATTCGTTTTCTGATTCGCAAGTGTAGGATTCTGGGAGTTTTGGAATAGGATTTTCGTCACTGTGAGGCACAGGTCTCATCGCAGATGGTGTGTTTGGGTAGTTAATAACCGATTTTTTTTTCTTGGACATACCTGTGGCTTGTCCAACCAAGGTACCATGCAAAAGTAACAATCATTAATATGATTTGTAGGCTCTCTCCAAACCATTGGGACAGCAAGGCGCATAGACCG